GGTGACCTAAAAATACGTGAAAATGTACAAGTTTATGACGTCACAATTAGCATTTAGGAGGTCATATGAGAAAAACGATCTGTGTATCCTAACTGCAGGGAATAATTATGATTTAGAAAGAACAAATTTTGATATGACTTTCATACTGTGGTTTCATCAATTTTCGTTGGCATCAATTTTCGTAGATTTTGAAAAATAGACATTTTCGAGGATATGTAATTTAGTGGACAAAAGCATTGCCTATACAAATGTATGTCATATTTCGTAATTCAATGAACATTTGAATTCGTTGATCTGCTCAACAACGAAATCCACGAAATTTGGTGCTCAACGAATATTGATGAAACCACAGTATTTAAGAAAAATATAGGGTATAATTTGTATTGAAACTGTACCTTGTTCTTTAAACTATAAGTATTCTCTATGATACAATTTTCTGCTGTCATGAATGAAAATTTCTTTTTGGACAAGTATTTTGCATGGGAACCGGGACTATATTTTTGACATCAGATTAGCAAATGAGGCACCAAAGTGACTTCAACTGACAAAGCAGCTGAATGAAAGCTGCATTATGGGTTACGTACTACAGATACTACTGTACAGGATTTTTATGCTATTGTACTATTAGTGAATACAATTGTCAGTAGGATTCCCTGGCCAACACACATGATCATGAGTATTGTTATATAAGAAATAATCCAAGGTCATTTTGGGAGGTTCAAGGTCACTGGAAGAAAAATTTCTTAATTCGTGTCCGGTCCATATCTTTCTTACGGATAAACTTGGTAGGTTCTCATTTCACACAAAGGTTGCCCATGACCCAAGGATGTCATGACTTTGATCCAAGGTCATTTGGGTAACTTCAAGGTCACTGGAAGAAAAATTTCATAAATCATGTCTGGTCCATATCTTTCTTATGGATAAACTTGGTAGGTTCTCATTTCACACAAAGATTGCCCATGACCTAAGGGTGTGTAATGACCTTGACCCAAGGTCATTTGGGGAACTTCAAGGTCACTGGAAGAAAAATTTCATAATTCATGTTTGATACATATCTTTCTTATGTAAAAACTTACTTCTGAAAAACCCAGCAGGGGGTTTTTTGTCCTTTTTTGACAGTTCTAGTTTATTCCAGATATGTAATATCTGGATGCTTTTTAGTTCACCTGAGCCGAAGGCTCAAGTGAGCTTTTCTGATTACATTTTGTCCGGCGTCCGTCTGTCTGTAAACTTTTCACATCTTCGACTTCTTCTCAAGAACCGCTGGGCCAATTTCAACGAAACTTGCCATAAAGCATGCTTAGATGAAGGGGATATCCGACACAAAGCAATCCCGGGTGAAGGGGGCGGTTCAAGTTTTTACAAATAAAGGGCCAAACCATCATTCAAGGGGAGACAATTAGTGAAAATTTGGTGGTATGTTTTAAAAAACTTCTCAAGAACCATTGTGCCAGGTAAGATATGGGGAAACATCCTCAGGTAGTGTAGATTCAAGTCTGTTCAAATCATGACACCCAGGGGGTAGGACAGGGCTACAATGACCAACCAAAGTTTTGTATAGAAATATATGGAAAAATTCTTTAAAAATCGTCTTCTCAAAGCCATAATTGCTCATATTTATATGGAAGCATCCCCAGGTAGTGTAGATTCAAGTTTGTTCAAATCATAACACCCAGGGGGTAGGACGGGGCCACAATGGCCGATTAATTATTATATAAACATCTCTAAGCGACAGGGCTTTGACTTACTGAAACTTAAAGTTTTATATAAAAATAATAGGAAAATTCTTTAAAAATCTTCTTCTTGAGAACAGCAAAGCCATAATTGCTCATATTTATATGGAAGCATCCCCAGGTAGTGTAGATTCAAGTTTGTTCAAATCATGACCCCTTGGGGTAGTGCGGGGCCACAATGGCCGACCAAAGTTTTCTATAGAAATATATAGGAAATTCTTTAAAAATCTTTTTCTTAGGAATAGCAAAGCCATTATTGCTCATATTTATATGGAAGCATCCCCAGGAGTGTAGATTCAAGTTTGTTCAAATCATGTCCCCAAGGGGTACGACAGGGCCACATTGGCTTACCAAAGTTTTATATAGAAATATATAGGAAAATTCTTTAAAAATCTTCTTCTTAAGAACAGCAACCGTTCACAGTAGCCCAGTCAGCAGAGTGCTCGCTTCATGATCAGGAGGTCGTGAGTTCGTATCGGCTGCGACTGACCTAGTCGTTAAAATTGGTAGCAACTGTTCCTTCGCCATGTGTTTATTAAATGTAAAGTACAATTGTTTTAGAAATGTCAGACGTTGGAGGTGTACCTGACTATCACGAGGAACCTCTACCAAAGCATGTGCCAGATTTCACTTAGGTTAAAAAAATAATTTTCTGATTTACCGCTTCACGGACAACAAGGGGACTTTTCATGAAGGTGATTGTAATGATGGGGAGTTCGGAGCGGGGCGAATAAAGTTGGGAGTATTACAAGATCAGAGCCGTATCAATGTGGCCATCGTGATAACAAGGATGATGAATAGACATCTCCTTCCAAACTGTTTACAGATTTTGGAAAACACCATGATGGGTGTTCTATGGACTTTTTAATTGAAAACTATTCGTTGCTTTGATGTACATCAAACTTGCAGTACTAGACTAGACATTTGAGTGATTTGAAACAGTGTATTTTTTCTTACATCTTGTTAACATGAAAATATTTGCTTTTTAGGAGTGTAAGCGTGAAATAAGAAATGTATTATTTCCGGATATTTACCAAAGTTGTCGTTTTCTCTTTATACATCGAATATTTATTTACCAGCAGCGCCTTCTTTAAAATGAAACCTTGCTTGTAGGGGTTCACATTTGGAAAGATAAACAAGAGGATTTGCTTATTAACCTCTCATTTTGGAACAAGATCGAAAAGATTTAACACTTTCAATGTCAAAATATCTACAACACAAGCCATTAAGAATTTCAACAATCTCATCGCCGCTTACAGGTCATCTGTGGTTCTCAATTTTTTTTTATCCTTTTACAAAGTTCCTTTATAAGTTTTCGCCAAGAGTTTTCAATTATATTAATATCGGAGCTTTGAGAAGGCCAATCAATAGTCGGAATATTCTCTTGTGTCATAAATTCTTTTACAGTCCTGTCCCTATAAACGAGGGCATTGTCAGCTTGATATAGGTAATCATTTGATGAGAAATGTGCTGCCAAAGATAATTAAAATTATTTTTACATATTTTTGAGCATGTTTGTTCCCTTCTATAACAGAAAGTTTGCTGACTCCATTGTAATTTATACATCCCCAGATCATTAAATCCAAACGTCCCCCGACGATTGATTGATTGATTGTATATTGTTTAACGTCCTTCTTGAGAAAATTTTACACTCATTTGAAGACGTCACCGATGCCGGTGAAGGGCTTCAAATTGAAACCTATACTCGGCACTCAGGGCCATTGAGCAGTTCGTGCCAACACCTATCGTGACACGGGACCTATGTTTTTAAGATCATATCCTAAAGACCCTTGACTTTCACTTCTAGTGCCGAGCGCTTGGCAAAGGAATGATGTAGCAAAGCCATTATATATGGGAAAATTCTCTAAGAATCTTTGGGGTAGAGCAGGCCAAACTTTTGGATTTAAACTTTTCAATAGTAAATAAATTTCTACTTTTTCCTAGCCACAATGCTCAGGTGAGAGATGTGGCCCATGGGCCTCTTGTTAAAGTATTAATAGTTTTGTAAGACATTGCAGTCAGGATAAAGAATACATTTGTAAACGTCTGAAGATGTAATGCAAGGTGCTCACGTTTTAATCTGTGTTGCCTTTTTTATTTTAATTTTACCTCTTTAAAAACCGGACACTGTGAAATTTTCAAAGTTGGATATTGTTAACCAGTGATCGAGATGGCAACAAGAAAAGATAGTCAGAGGGATAAAAGAAAAGGAGGAGAAATAAATACAGAAGGTATTCTTTTCAACATCCTTGAAACGATGAGTAATATAAGAGAGAAAATGGATACAACAAATGATCTACTGCGAGATCTGATCAAGGTATGTGAAAATCGTACGGAGAACAGTGACAACACTGAAACATTTGTTAAATCTGTAAATGTAGAAGAAATTTGGATGAATTATCATTCACCAAGTGAAATGATCCAACAAGAAATTAATGAGCTTGCGCTGCAAAAAGAGGCAGACAAAATTTGTACAACAGAAGCATATATTACAACATCAAGAGCAATAAAGGTATGTAGGAAAACAAAACAACAAACCACATTACCATAATTTTGATAAAAGAAAAAACAATATCACGCAATCATGGAGTAGTGGTGAACTTAATCATTTAAATAACAAATACGGAAACGGCTATAGAATGCCAAATAACTTCCAAGAAAATACCTACAAGAAAAATGGAATCACCTACATTGGAAAAAGAGTTAAAGCCATATATGGCGTAACTGATCAAAAAATATATTTTTGAAAAATACAAAATTAAGTAAATAAATATAGTTAAACACCTCGTTTCACCTAATAATACAATTTTATCTTCTCTATAATGTGTTATTTAAATCTTTTGTATTTTCTTCCGAGTCGGAGAAAATTCCGAGAATCCAAATTAAATTGTGATATCTTTATAACGCAACTGACTTAGATTTTGGAATTTACGGAAAAGTTCTATCTTTATATAAAGTAATCATACAAATAATAAGTTCTTGTAATTTTAGTCTAATAATTTTCATTGAACATACGCCATATATGGCTTTAACAAGTATTTTTTAGGCGGTGGCAAACCGAACAGCGGACAGAGATTCCAGCATCATCAACAAATGACTAGAGCAAAGCTCGTTGCTAAGCAACGAGTGGGTCTTCCTTCCTAGCGATAAGCAAAAAATTAAATGTTTCTGTCTAGATTGTCAACTTTGCTAACATTCTCTTTTTCCATTTGTCTCAAAAACCCTTACTTGAATTCTTTAATTTGGTGTGAGCATGAGGTGTCTCTAACAGCATTCTTGAAATCGTATCCATAACAGTTAAACTTCCAATATTATGACTTTTGATATTGGATATATCATCTTTGTTGCAATTATGTTTGTGAAACGTGTCATACTACAGAAACATAAGTGTTTTGCTAGATTACCATCTTACTGGTTCCTTTAGCTCAGATGGGCTAATAAGTATGCAACAGGAACAGTTTTGCAGTTGACATTGAAATGCGACTGGACATCTCTTCAATCTTGTTTTAGAAAACTACATTTACATGTCCTATGTACTGAATTCCTTGGAATCATACACATGTTTATGCCTTTATTTAGTTGTATGTGCCAAAATAACAATTTTTTTTACATAACTGTAAAAAATTTTACATTACTGTAAAAATACACATACATGTATTACAAGATCTTATATTCCAGCTGAAGACAGAGGATCTATCTTAATCATTAGAATAAGTAAGTCTAAACTTTGAAAGGGAAGACCTTAATAAAGAGATCAACATGCAACACAAAAAAATATTACTATATTTAAAAATAACATTTATTCCAATGTAATTACTGGTACATGTATTTCTGTTACAAAAACTATTTCACTTGAAAAACTGAGAGCAATTGATATGTTTATACTTGTGGATTTATGTTGTCAAATCAAAATTTAAAAATGATACACAGTGTGTTTAAAAGTTGTCTTCACAAACCAAAACTTTACTTATTTTCACTATGCTGTTTATTCCATGTCAAATCCAAACAGATGATCTTCTGGCAAATCATGGTCATGCTTGGTATCGAAATTCAGTATTCAGATGAGTCACACCTGTGTAAAAGAAATTATAATTTTTTAGTTTATAATTCTTTTACTAATAAAAAGTGTAATTCATGAGATTATAAATTAGATTATCAAATTGAGAGATAAGTTATTGTCACATTTTCTGTGTATAATTTGTAAATTTTAATGTACTCTTCCATCAATTAAAAGAAGTTTACACCAATTAAGGCAGTCATTTATGCTATCCCCTAATAAGACAACATACAAGTGCAAAGTAATCATGCACTAGCGGGTTTAGGATAATGTGCTAGAGTATTTATTACAACATACTAGCACGAGGTGACAATGTGCTAGCATGTACGTCAGTGATAATATGCCAGCACACTGAATCCAACATGCAGTGAAGCTAACACTCAACAGATTGTTTAGAGTTGTGTTTGCATGATATTTTGTTTTGTGTTAACACAGCAGCGTATTGTTTAAAGCTGCATTGGAGTGGCAGTCTGTTGAAATTAACATTCTAACACACTGCAACTTCACATCATTGGAATACCATATTTTTAAAAACTGGCAAACCAATATCTTATGATTACTAAATAGGTATTTGCAACTGTAAATGCTGATTTCATGGTGACAATAATACCAGTAATTCACTGTATATCTGAGAACTGAACAATTATAATAAGGCGTGTTCAGATAGGGCCACTTGCTAAAGCTCTATAGCACTTTCATAAAAACGTGCCATCTTACCAACACAAAAGACGCCATTAGGCTATCACACAGCTTGCCATCACAACACTGAAAAACACTTTTGCACCAACAAAAATTCACACCACACGCTGTCACACTAACACAACACACTGTCATGCTAATACAATTTCACACAACAAATTATCAGGCTAACACGAGTTCACACAACACACTATCATGCTAACACGAATTCACAAACACGCTGTCTCGCTAACACAAGTTCACACAACACGCTGTCTCGCTAACACAAGTTTTACACAACACGCAGTCTCACTAATACGAGTTCATACAACACACTGTCTAGTTAAGACAAGTTCACGCAACACAATGTCACGCTTAGATGAATTCACACAACACACTGTCACGCTAACATGAGTTTACAGAACACGCAGTCTCACTAACAAGAGTTTATACAATACACTGCAAGCTAACAAGAGTTTACACAATACACTGTCACGCTAACACAAAGTCACAAAACAGGCTGTCTCACTATTCACTAAAACAAAGTCACACCAAACGCTGTTGCGATAACACACTGTCATCCTAATACCATTTCACACAACACACTGTCAGGCTAACACAAATTCACACAACACACTGTCACGCTAACACAAATTCAAAAAACATGCAATATCGCTAACACGAGTTCACACAACACCCTTTCTCGCTAACATGAGTTTACATAACACGCAGTCTCCCTAACACAAGTTCACACAAAATGCAATCTTGCTAACAGGAGTTCACACAACACAATGTCTCTCTAACACCAGTTCACACAACAAATTTTCAGGATAATACAAGTTCACACAACACACTGTCACGCTAACATGAATTCATACAACATGCTGTCTCTTTAATAAGAGATCACACAACAGGCTGTCTCGCTAACATGAGTTTACACAACACGCAGTCTGGCTAACACTAGTTTACACAACACGCAGTCTCGCTAACACGAGTTTACACATCACAAAGTCTAGCTAACACAAGTTTTACACAACACGCAGTCTCGCTAATACGAGTTCATACAACACACTGCCTTGCTAACACAAGTTCAGGCAACACACTGTCACGCTCAGATGAATTCACTCAACACACTGTCACGCTAAAATGAGTTTACAGAACACGCAGTCTCACTAACACAAGTTTACACAATACACTGTCATGCTCACACACGTTTACACAATACACTGTCACGCTAACACAAAGTCACAAAACAGGCTGTCTCACTTTTCACTAACACAAGTTCACACCAAACGCTGTTGCGAAAACACACTGTCATCCTAATACCATTTCACACAACACACTGTCAGGCTAACACGAGTTCACACAACACACTGTCACACTAACTCGAATTCACAAAACAGGCTGTCTCTCTATTCACTAACACAAGTTCGCACCAAACGCTGTTGAGATTACACACTGTCATCCTAATACCATTTCACACGACACACTGTCATCCTAATACCATTTCACACAACACACTGTCAGGCTAACATAAGTTCACACAACACACTGTCATGCTAACACAAATTCAAAAAACATGTAATATCGCTAACACAAGTTCACACAACACGCTGTCTTGCTAACATGAGTTTCCATAACCCACAGTTTCCCTAACACGAGTTCACACAAAATGCAATCTCGCTAACACAAGTTCACACAACACGATGTCTCTCTAACACCAGTTCACACGACAAATTTTCAGGATAACACAAGTTCACATGACACATTATTACCTAACCTACTATATAAATTATAATTAGGCATTTTGAACTGTTTCACGGTTAACTATATGTCTTTGATCATGAAACAGTGAACTGTTGACCGGTCCACAGAATGAACTGTTGACTGTTTAAAGCGTCATCGTGATATTCAAGCATTTTGACGATCACGACATCACTATTTACCTGCTCTATAATTAATCATATTTAAATAAAAAACGCAAACAATCCATTTATTAAGTATTACTTTAAGTTAAAAATATTAATTTAATCTTTATATTATGTGTTCAGCTAATTAATAGACAAGTATGTGAATATATAGTCATGAAAAACGTTTAATTGATTATTTGTGTGTTTTTATTCCAATTTGATTAATTATATAGTAGGTTAGGTAATAAAACACTTATTCAATGACTACTCGGTGAAACATTCAAAATGTTGTCCCTCGGTAGTGGGGGAGACCTGGGAAACTGTTGCCCTCGGCATTCGGCCTCGGGCAACAGTTTCCAAGGTCCCCCCACTACCTCGGGACAACATTTTGACTGTTTACCTCGTATTCATTGAATAAGTTTATACTATCATGCTAACCTGAATTCACACAACATGCTGTCTCGTTAATAAGAGTTCACACAACACGCAATCTAATTAAAATTAGATGTTAGATCCGCTCGCATACTTGCTACACTAACATCTAACAACATCCCATAGAGGGTCACGTCAAAGGTCAAATTCGGAACAGTCTAGACTCATTCGCTTCGACAACATACATGTACGATGATTTTGCAGGTGACAATTTGATTGGTTGATAGAATCTGACCTCTAAAATGACCCTCAATGGGATGTTGTTAGATGTTAGTGTAGCGAGTATGCGAGCGGATCAAACATCTAATTTTAATTAGATTGCACAACACGCTGTCTCGTTAACATGAGTTTACACAACACACAACTCACTGTCAGGCTAACACAATTTAGTTCACAAAACAAACTGCCTTGCTAACACAAATTCATACAACACACTGTCTCGCTTACACAAGTTCACACAACACACTCACATTGCTGAGTTTAAAGTGGTCTACCCTAATTTGAAGAGGTTTAACACTATATGGTAACATATCTCTATATAAGTAAAGAGCTTCAAATTTAAGATAAAAACATTTATGCAGTAATGTTCCTTAACATGCATCTGGCATATAAAATGAATGAAACCTTAAAAACCTCACAGTACATGTTTACTTAGCTAAGTAAAGGTCTAAATTGATGCTATTCAACAATATATATTAACATCTCTAAGTATATGTGAATGAGTGAAATTCACAAATAAATATTATCAAGCAAAGTATCAATAAGAAGCTGAAACTTACGTCGCAGGTTCCAATCCCATTGCTAAATGCTTTAGACAGGTTACTCCTATGAGACTGCATAAACCAAGATTCTGTGTCACGGTAGGTGTTAGCACAAAATGGATCTCATACTTCTTAAAGGCAATAAGTGCTGAGTACAAGTCTATACTTGCAGCTAATACCATTCCAAGTGGTGGCACCATGAAATGACTGAAAAATGTATGATTAAGGCAAATAAACAAACATTAAACCATTACAGCAGTCTTATCAAACAAAAAAGCAAACTTTCTATTATTACAATATTTTAAAACAAATTTCTTTTGCAATTTAACTGAGCAATATTTGTCCTTTTTTGTCAGTAAAGTATGATATTAAATAATTAAGACTTTTTAAGAACATGTATTTATAGCGAGTCCAGACAGCAGCACAAATCCCTGCCCATAAGGCGAGCTCTTACGATAACACCTTGACAAAAGAAGATTGTGACTTGCACATTGCTCCACACAATTTTTCAGAGTATTAACTTTGGACCCACAGTGCTTAGCTTATTTAACATGTTTAAGCTACATTCAAAATTCATTTCTATTTAAATTAGCTATCCCTATTCATGTTCACATGAAGCTAATGGGAAGTAATTAAAGGAGCAGTGAATTCATTCGAATTAAACATTTGAATAAACTCTCAGTGTGAACACTGAGCATGGATGCACCAAATGTCAAATGCGGCTTGACAAGCACAATCTAAATTAAAACTAAATAAGTATCTGCCATCACCCTTACAGTCACACAGTCAATATATAATTTGTTGAATATATTCTGTAACATTAAGTGTAGTTTGAATTATAGAGTATGATCACTATGATAGATAGTAGGACTGTTGAAATTACATCTTCAAATTAAAAAAAAAGGTATAAATCTGTGGGGATTTACAAGGCAAACAGAGAGCGTCTGAACTGTAAAACAGATAATATATCGATGTGTTTGTGTATTTCTAATAACATCAATGTATGTCACTGTCATGTAAACATTAGTGTAAATTTTAAGTAATAAGAATATTCTAACCCTCATTCCAATGGTCCAAGCCAATCATACATTAAAATGTCGCTGTCAGCTCTTTCATCACTTGATACAATTATCACTGGGGAATCCGAAGCAGAGTCAAGAGTGTTCATCCTTGTTAATGTGACAGTCAGAATTTCCTCGTTAACAATTCACACAAGATTCTTAGAATATATGAATTGGGATAATTCTGCTTAGAATAATGTTCCAGAGAAGTGACAAAGTACTTCGTAGCTGCAGATTAAATGAGTGTGCATGTCTACAAACGGATTCTTTGTGAGAAAATGTTCAACTTCACAAATCAATCTATTTTCAGTTTGTAAACCATGGCAAACATGTGTCCGACGTCGACTCGATGGGGCACACTAAAAACGGGATATACTAGAGACCTGATATTTACCTGTAGTTTTAATTTTTAATTAAATGGTAATATTGAGTATTTTAAATTTCTTATGTACAGACTTTATGACTTCGAGGTATATGCTATACAAAAATTCAATTGTTTGGAACATATACAGACAAATTTGAATCAGGTCAAATCAGTGTTTAATACATTGCGTCTTTAGTATCTTCCTGTTTCCCACAATGCCGCGCGTTGTTTACAAACAAGCGCGAAAAAATCCTCTAAACTAGGTACTAATTCTTGTTGTGTACATCATCACATTTTAAAATTATTTGAATAAAAAGAAAACAAAGAAACACCGAATCAAAGCTATATCTTTTAGATGCATCAACTAAAAATATGCACATGTATGCAGTAAAGGCTTGGCTGGCTATAGTAGACAACTTGTTCCTGAAAGGTTTCTCACATATATGTACTTGTTTTATATAAAAACAATTAAATATAGCTGGAAGTTTATTTCTTTTTATATCAAATGACAAGATTTTATAAGTTCGAAATTATTTTAGTCAAACTTTTTCATAATATACCAATATTTTTAGCTATCAGAAAAAAGCGTGTATGATCTATTAACCCCTAATTATAGGGGCCAGCCCCTTTTCGTTAATCAAATATGAAAGCTCTCGTAATTACCCACAACTTTTGTTCTATATTTCTTACCAAATTATTCTCGGTTTAAAAGTTATTACACAAAAAGTAGCAAAAATTCAAAGAAAAAAAAATTACTAAATTTTGCCGTTTTATATCTTCCAAACTTTAAGAAATCCGCTATATAATTTTATCGTTGTGCACATCTACAATGTATTGGCTACAAGTTCTCCAACTTTCGTGTAAATATCTTATGTCATTTTTGAGATTTTCAGTGGAAACGAGACATCAAAAATTTTCAATTAAAGGGCAATAACTCACAAATAAAGGCATGTATCAAAAAACTGAAAACAATTTAAATAGGTTTTACTACAAGCTATCTATCCTGAAAGTTTCATAACGATCAGTCCAAAGGTCTTTGAGAAATCGCCTGTCAAAAATCGAGCGGGAAAACAAAAGAATAATAAGAAACAATAGAATAACAGTAGGGTCTTCCGAAGGAAGCGGAAGACCCTAAAAAACGCGTGGAACCAAAAGTGATCAACCTGTCTAGTAAACAACTTAATGAATGGGAAATAAAACTTTTGTCAAAGGGATTAAAATATACACCGACTCCTAATAGCAATAAGCAAGAGTTTAAAAAAGTGGAAGTTTCTAGTATGCCGGTCCCCAGAATCACGCGATTGCGCATGAGCAGTTATTTCCCTTGCCATTGCTATGCAGAATGTAAACAAACCGCAATTTCCCACTCGCTTCAACAAAACGCATCCGATCGAGTGATTAGGGTTAGGTTATATAGTTTTAAAATTGGGGTTGTTTTATAAATCCACTCTGTAATCTTTCTGACTTTTGGCTAATTTATGTAATTTTTGCTTTATACAAAAGGCACTATGATCGAGTGCCATTTGTGACCAAAAACTTGCATAAATCAGCCTGTCGAATCGTGCCGATATCTTACACTTTGGTTTAGTGCATGAAACTTTTTCTTTACAAAGGAAATTAAGTTTAAGAAATGAAAGTTCGGCTAAATCAACTCTATTGTCGATACATGACGATTTTCAGCGCTGAGTTTATGCAAGTTATTGTAAAAGCGACTTACCGTTAGCTGCAGCTCGATATCCTGACCTCCTAATCATGTCCAAATATTCAGAATTCCTTTCAAATCGATAATTATGCACAATTCAATTCATTGACGACTAGTAATTAGCTAACATTTGTTAAATCCCTGTATTTCTTACAAAAATCACGCAATTTTAACAGTATTGCACTTTGAGTCCTATCAGGCATTTCTTCATTACGTCAAAACACAAGTGACGCATCTCATGAATATTTATGAGATTACGTCAAAAACTGATCATGTGACTACATTCCTAAACAACGCAAGATGGAGATTTACTTCCTAAACAAGTACGTTATTTTACGAAATCTATTAATTTTCATTTAAAAAACTGAGTTTAAAAACCAGTTTTTTAAACCCAATTTTTCACAAGGAAGACGAATTCGGGGTCAAATTTGCAATTTGTGGCTTCTTTTTCGATTTTGTCCATCGCTCACGCGATCATCTATATATTGTACACCGCCTTCGGCGGCACCTTATTTAGAGCCATATTTATGGGGACCGGTATACTAGAAGTGTTCCGAAAAAAGATATTAAAGAATACACACGTAGATTACGACTAGCAGAATACTTTAACACCACAGAGAGTGATGAATCGGATTCAAATGAACCGGATGATTTAGTTAGAAATTAAACTAATTTCAATCCCAAACCAGAAGTCTCTGTGGAGACTGAAGCTCTACTGGTTTGTACTTATAGCAAAGGTAGAGAAAAGTTCTTAAGCAGTTGGGAATTGAAACATAACAGCAATAAAAAATAATCATCATTGATTAAGTCTCTTTATGTTCTTAGTGTAGTATACTTGCATGCCACATTATATTATAATCAGACTTAAACTGTATTTGGAGTAGCATTTTGAAAGTATTTAACAGAAATTTCTATTTTTAATAACCAAAGCAAAAATGTTCATCAAAGTCAAAAACTGATAAACAAAATTGTGTATCTTAGTGTAGTCTACTTGTGTGCCAAGTGTATCATCATCAATTCGTGGGTATTAGTTATTAAAATGTAGAACCACGTGTTGAGTGCTAAATCTAATTTATTCAGAACGAGACAACATGGTAACACAATAGGTCGTACATAAGATTATTCGTATTTGATTAACTCGTACTTTTATACATATGTGGTAGTATCGGTCTTTTATGAATTATTTCCATTACATTATTGTCATCTCTCACGAGAGATGACACATTTAGTTTGATTTCCGGATGTGAGGTCCCAGTGTAAGCAGCCATTAAAAATCGGTAAGTCTCGGATGATTACGCTCGTGAGGGCAAGAACTATCCGAGGAGCACCGAGTGGTCACTTTGATGATGATGCGATTTTCTAAATATAGAGCGGTAAACAATGAGCGATCCAAACATTGAAAAAGAAAAAGGGCTGCACAGGAATCACAGAGGGCCAGGCACACAATATCGCCTGTTGGTTGTTTGCATGGTGTTCAAAATATATGTACTAATTTAATCATCTACATGTTTAGATGTAGGCTAACAAAAGATAATATGGAGATCAATTCACCAAGAGATGATGGTATATTTTTATTTTGTATGAATGCTATGTACCTATATTAAATTGGTTTATTCTTTAAAATCTAATGGCTAAATTTTTTCACTTTTAGATAACATTGAAAATAAATATGTTTTAGAGAGAAGTGAACAATAGGGCTGACGGGCACAAACCATATAACTTAACAGAATCCTGACATCCAGATACATATATAATCTGCACCTAGTGTTGTACAGGGCTTCAGAGCAGCATGGATCTTGTCTGAATTCCTCCGCATAGGCCAGAAAGATTTCCTCTTTCTATCCGATAGCCATGAGCAGGGGTTCACAACTACTTTGAGATAATCGGCATCGGTATACTCTTTCAAAAGTGACAATGCCTTGACATCTAGTTCATAATTCAATCATTGGGAAGTTGTTGCATGATGCTCAGGTTACCCACAAGGCCCCTGGGCCTATTGTTAAATGTTAGAAATTAAAGCATACAGTAAAAATGTAAGACCTGTGCCAAATATACATGAAAAATATCTGAAGTCTTCCAAAAAAATTCCGGTACATAATGTTTCATCTTGGATTGGTGATTTTTATATATTTTATTTTAAAAGTAAATGGAATGGGATATTCTCTTTTGAGGTCCTAAGGCTTACCATAGTCTAACCACTTGACCAAGTACTCTGTTATGTTTCTTCATTTTCTTTGTTTAAGGATTTCATTTTCATAATGCCTTTTCTGTATTACCCCTGTGGGGACCCAGGGTGACAAGAATAGGTCCCTGGCACCTTGTATGTCGTAAGAGGCGACTAGATGGAGCAACCTGTTTGCCGTGGGTTGCGACCCGTGATGGTGGAGAAGGGTCTGCGGGAGCTGGGTGTAACGCACCTGATATGGCCAACACTCCACTTTGGCCCCATATTCATCTAGACGGGAGGTCAAGTTTGGCCCGACTTGATCAATCGGCTGGTCGAGCTGATTATATCTGCATGCCTTAGTATTGATGAATGTTATGCATTTTTAGGTCACCTGAGTAACTCAGGTGACCTATTGCTATCCGTTTTCGTCCGTCGTCGTGCGTCGTGTGTTAACATTTGAACATTTTCAGCTTCTCTGAAACCACTTAACCAATTTCAACCAAATTTGGTACTTCCGATAATGGCGGCGCACATGGACAACGTGGTCAGCGAATAAAATTGTCCATTTTCACGGTACCTACCTCGTCCCCATAATCGTAATAGTGTCTTAGCAACAATCTTAACAATATCCTCATAATACTGCGTTTTGTGAAGTGGCAGGTATCGTTTCATATAAATATTTAGATATACATGATGCCGCAAGGTCGTAGGAACCAGGGTATGGCTCCGGCCAAACACAATGAAGGCATTTCTGAACCTGAGATACCAAAAGAACACATACAATGTGATGGGAAAATTAACAATGTTTCATTCCATTTAACTAGTGAATCTATACCGGCATGGAAAAAAGCAGTACTTGATTTCTTCGATGAGAAAAAAACAACGGCGACGACCAGTGATATTTGTTGTGTTATAAAAGTAGTTTTTGACTATGAAGGCTCGGTCAATAACTCCGTGAAAATAAATTTCTACCAATCAGGCTCCGTAGTTATTCAAGGCGCCAAATGTGTTCAATTTAAGGACAAGTACTTTGCCTCCCTCAATGAGAAGGCACAGAAC